TCTTATGTGCCCCTGTTAAGCACCTTATAAGGTGCATCAGAAGTAAAGTTTAATTGTTTACATACTTCATAATGTTAGTAGGTCTGCTAGGCCTATTACCCTGATATTGTGCATGCTGGCTCACTGTCATGGCGTACTGAGACATTTGAATGGAATGGAGCCATAATTAAAGTTATTAGTTGGTGTCTTTTCTGCTATGACATCTCAAACTGTCAGCCTGTTATGTGTAAATTTCTTACAGCTCATACACAGGCTGTGACGATTGCATTCAAAGGAAGTGACACTTGCAAAACTTGTAATTTTACGATGCAACCCTCTGATGTAGACTTTTATCTGTGTGAGGTTATCTACTGGCAGAAAAAGAACAAAAGCGCTGTAGAGATAAAGAACATTGTTGTTCTGTCAACCCACTGCATGAATGCTGGTCGACCGGTTCCAAATAAATGAAGCTTATTGGACGCAAATGCCAGCTGTGAACTTCTACAAACAGAAATTAGATGACAAACCTGTTTTCCGGTGCTGATTGAGTTTACTGAGTGTTGTGCTGAGGGGTGCAAGGGCCTGTTTGACAACTCCCTGGCCTTTAGTGGTTTTGTGGTACTTGTTGATCCACTGAAACTTGGGTACCTGTGTGGGAGACTTGCAAACATCTGAAGAAAGATAGACAGAGAGAGCAAGATAATTAAAGTAGGCTAAGTTAGGATAAACAACAGCAATTGTAAGATTCATGGTGTAAGAAAGAATCGACTCCACTAGTGTTAAAGAAATAGGAGCATTCTTAAGCAACATCTTTCTATTTCTTGCTCTTACACATGGATCTTGTCCATACAATGAACTGTTCTCCTAGTTTGTAAGACCACCTCCACACTTAGACTTCTTTAAATAGAAGGAATCTCACTTATACTTGCTTACCTTTATCATTTCTCACACTCTTCCTTTTAACAACAACTGGCACCAGGTCATCTAATCTTTCCATCACTGGTATCCCTCACCAGATTAAAAGCCTCTGTGGCTCATCTTACAAGTACCGCAAAAAAATTTAATGAAAACAACATAGTAGTCTCCGTAAATGCTCACGTGGGGCTTCCACTGTGAAAAATAGTGAGCCAGTGGCGAAAGTGACACATCCCTAACAAAGCAGACTGTCTGTCAACCCGACAGCTGGCCTCTTCCATCCAGATGAACAGGAGGCAAAAAGTAAAAAGCAGTTCAAGAGAAGTGATGACGAAGAAGTCCTTTTAAAACTGTTTTCATCTTGTCCTTTTGCTGGTTGTTAAAGAAACAAACTAGACACAGAGTACAACATTCAAGCTCCACCCCTTCTCTCTCTGTACCGATCCCTTTTACGTCATGCACACTAGTGACAGCCAGTTGAAGGGACAGCAACAATTTGTAGTTGTAAAATTGGTGTGAGCCAATCAACAGAATCTAACAAATGCATTTGGGTTTTTATTTCTGTTTTTTTTTTAAATTCATTTTTCAGTAATCTAATGTCAAAATGTAAGAATAAATTGTTTTTTTTTGTTTGTTCGTTTGAGACAATGTATCCTCAAGGCAACTGAAGACTGGCTGAGCTGGTTTCCTAGATACTTCACACATTGATTTTTCAAAGGCTGTGAGAACCTTGAATAAAAAGCAATGACTGCTGGGTGTTATGTAAGCGTGTCACCAATGTCTCTGAGGGCTGACCTACCACTCCAGGCCCTGTTGACCTCGCTGAGAAAGAGCCGCGAATGAGACCCAAAAGGAAGTCTGAGCTCTAATGCTTCTTCCTGGTAGCTCATTCTCACCCTGGTATCAGCCCCTAGAATCAGATGAAGAACACAGAAAAAAAAAAAAGTTATTTATTTATCTTTTTTGTTTTACTTTCTTATGTACTGCTGCTTAATATTAAAATATATGTAATAAGGGCAACTCACCCACAACTGCAAGTTCCTCTGGTGAGGAAACTACAAAAAGTGCAGCATGAGAAGTATGTCAGGGCATTTCAGAGAAGTTAGTGTCATACCATTATTCACAGGAAACAACTGTTATTTTGGTGCTCTGAACCTTACGGCCAGTCTACTTTTGATTATGTTAAACATATGAAAGCTGCTCACCCTCCACAACAGCAAAGTCAAGGGAGATGGGTATGATGTCCTCCAGTGACACATCATCAGCAGTAATGGCCATCCTTCGATGAGTATAAATAAAGAGTCTAAAAAACAGACATTTTAATGATGATTAAAATTAAAATATGTTATTATTATTTCTATTTTTAAATGACATTTGATTCATTTTAATCAAAATTCTGAATCAACTGTGTATTTCATCAAAGGGGAAAAGAGGACTGGACATTTACATACTGTATGGTTACTGTGTCAGACAATTTGATGCATCTCTGTGGTCATTTTCAAGGCCAATGTGTGGTGTTGCTATGGACTGCATAATGTTGTCAAACCCACTCCTTAATAAATTATATTGTGAGCCCGTGAATACGAGTATTTTGTTCAATAATGAACTTTGTGTTAAAACTCACCCATGTTCTTCTGAAGACTCAACCAATCCCAGCAATCTGCTCTCTGTAATATTATCAAAGAGGACATCACATTGGACAGCATGATTACAACTTGGTTAAGGGTATAGTGGGAATATGTTAATGACTTTCTTTAACACTTTGCCAGGAAATATCACCTTGCTCTCATTTCAACTATTTTTTTATTTAATTTTTTTTTGGCTACAATGGGAACAACACTGAAACTGTTTAATATTAATTGCACTATATTTCACAGGGAAATATTGGAGTTTTTACTCAACCTCTAATCTAATAGCTGTTTGTATTTTACATACAAACCATATAATTAGCTTACAAAATATGATACATTGATGTGGATGAAACTACATAAATGAAAAAATTTTTCCCAATGATACATATAAACTTTGACCTTAGCAACATTATAAATACTGGACTGGAGTATTCTTCTCCCAACACTGCCGAGAAGCAGCTAAGCTGGTGACACAGAGTTGCCATCTTGTGGAAGAAAGGTCTTACTACAAAAGTTGGACCATATCCTTAAGTAGTCACACCCGACAAAACCTGCTCTGCTTCTATTGCTGAGAACTATACGTCTTAAATGTTGTTTTGTTTTAAATCACAATATAAGTAACATAGTTATTTTTATTCAGAGAGATGTCGACCATGTAGCAGATCTTTAATCTTACAGGCCTCTCTGCGGACTCTGATATTCTTCAGCGGAGTCGTGTTAGTTAAACTTAGTTGGAGTCTGGTAATATTACATTTTAAACACTGATGATCCATAAACAAGCGCATGCGAGTCGCAAAGGATACTATGATGCAGTTTTCTTCCCTCTCCAAAGTTTCTTGGATTGCGACGGACTGATCCATGGTGAAGGCAGATTCCTTCTTGACAGTTTCTGCCCCACGCTTTTCTCGTTCAAAAATACCCGGAGGAATTTCGAGTAGCCTATTTATTTCTCTCTCAAGAGAAAGCCAAGTGAACAGCAGGAGGAGAGACGCTCGAGGAGCCCCCTGTAATCCGACATTATTCCCTTTCGATCCAGATGTTCCTCTCCCGTTCCTCCGCTGCTGGCCCAGCCCGGCCCGGTCTGCCACGCACTGATTCAGAATCGCTCTGTGCCCCCGGTGTGACGTCACATCTGGGCTGTCATCAACTCACTTTGGTTTGGATTAGGCCTCAGGGCAATGATCCAAAGAGGATTATGTCCTACAATAGGCCCGAATCCGTACGTTCACAAAGTTATATCAAAGCTTTCCATGAGTATTGATGAGCCATCAGGTCAATAGGCCTAAAACGGTCTTTTGTTAGAGGGGAAACCCACCATTAATACATTTATTCAACGTAAAATAATTGGGCTGTGTTGGATTTATATGTCAGATTTGTTGTTCAGTACTTCCCAGTTGTATATTTTCATTTTATGTATTTTATTTCATTTTTTAAAATCATTTTGAATATCATTTTTTAATAAATATTTTGAGGCTGAAATTGATATTTGGGATTTTAAAAAAATCTGATAACAATAAATCAGCCAGTAGGCCTATTTAAAAAAACAAACAAATAATAAACATAAAATAATATTTTTTCAGTTTCTTATTACTACTCGTTGGCAGACATATACAATCTGCAATAAGTTAATATCAATTGGTTATTGTACAGGAGTTCAGCTGCCATGCAGGCAGACATTTACTGTTAAAGGGACAGAATATCCAATTTTCTGCATTCCTCTTGGCCTAAACCTTGCTTTTATAGCAGTTGTATTTGGCCATGGGATTTGTTCACATCAGCTGTCTGGTAGTGGTGGAAGAGTCAAATCATTTACCTAATTAAAAGTAGAAATACAACAACGTTTAAATATGCCTACTCAGTTATAGGCTAACTATAAGTCCTGCATTAATTTTCATACTTGAGTAAAAGTAGAGAAAGTAAAAGTACCGATTCTACAAAAAAATATGTGACTGATGATCATATGGCCATATGTGACATTATTAGACTGTTTATTCTTTATAACCATAATAGACTAACTGTACCTCTAGCTATCAAAGTGGAGTAAAAAGTACAATAATCCCCAGTGAACTGTAGCAAATAGATAAAAAAAATAGATAGATAGATAGATAGATAGATAGATAGATAGATAGATAGATAGATAGATAGATAGATAGATAGATAGATAGATAGATAGATAGATACATCAAAATTTTACTTTACTTGAGTAAAGGTAGCCATAGAAATTCTTAGAAAAATGTGAGGAATCACTTAATTAAAGCTTAAGGTTAAAGAAAAGTGGGCTACACCAAAATAGGCTGGACCTCATACACTATAATAAAAATAATCCTATTAGTATTATTGTGGGCCTTTTACAACTATGAGACCTGAGATATGCCATCACCTTTCACCCCACTCTATGGCAAAGATTGGCCTAAACAAATTAGGAGTCATCAAGCATATTTTATTAGATTTATTTCTTTAGGCACTATCATCATATTTTACAGGACACAAAACTAGAATAAACTGACACCATTCTGATTTCATTTAACATGTACATGACACCTTATACCAAAAATATAATTTGTAAACCATAAAGATATATAATTCACAATTCACAAAAATATTAGACAAAAAGTAGACAAAGTACAGAATCACACATTTTAATATGATTAAATCTACAGAGATGCTTCAGCAAACGTTTGTGTTTCATAAAGTGCATATAGAGTCATAGCTGCGTTACTCTCACAATGGTTTAAAGAGATGATAATCTAGGGGGAGGTTTTGGTAATAAAACATTTATCCACGTTAACAGATGTTGTTGTGTTGAGGCTCACTCACCCATCCAGAATTAAAATTTGTCTACAGTCTGTTGAAAGTGGGAAGGCACAAACAAAAACTGCTGTTGGCCTTTTTTAAGAAGACAGCACCTGAATTCAATCACAGTTATGGGTAAGGTCATGGCTAAAACAAATTACAAGGTGTTTAACAAATTCAATATCATTTCTTAAACCTTCACTGAGAATAAAGTTTGGTTTGGTTTATTTTGTCAATTATGAAGACAAGAAACTTGCATTTTCTGAATTCCTGAAGTTGATGTATTTTTTAATCTAGAAATACTGTTCAAAGCCACTTTTCATTGGTCTTGAAACAGAGATAAAATGTAATTGGGAAGCTTTAATTAAACAAGAAATAATATCAACATTGTAGCTGAAGCTTTACATAATTCCATACATATATACATTACCACCACATATGAATATCACTGAGATAAATGAGTGTAAATTAAGTAGTGTTAACCTCTGCACAGCTAAGCTTTATTACCGGAGGGAGTGGAAGTTACACAAATCTCTGGTTACCTAATGACCCACACAGCAACTGAGCGAGCTCATACTCAACCAATCACAGCATTAAAGTGATGGCAAGAAGGCAAAGTAAGCAAGCAACCAATTCTGTGTGAATATAAGGACCTCTTGTGGCGAAAGAGGGGACATTCAACCGTAGGCAAGACGTCACAGTGGCGTTGCAGCACTCTAGATAACATGGAGGTTTTGTATCAGCCTCGCATGAGGTTTGGCCTGAACAGTTACCGATGCAACCTGCTGTCCATTTCAACATGGAGTCTTTGGTCTCCTTTTTAAGCTGCAAAGGCAATAGTTGAGTGAGAAAGAACAGTGGAGGACCTATGAGAGGTTAAAAGTCTATTCATGAGACTGAGATATTCAAATGTTGCTTAAAACCCTCTGGAGTCTGTCTATTCATCTGTGAATTCACTGAGAACTTTCATTTATAGTGACATAACTTGGGGAGAGTTTAAACAAAGACAAAAATGAATGCACTGAAAGTCATCAAATATTAATCAATATGAAGCTGGACTCCAGGGGGTTAAACATTTTAATGAATCTTACATTTAGGAATTCAGTATGTAGTCTTGCTAGAATTGTATTATATCAACATTTATGTGTTGGTGACACTTGTGTTAAGATGTTGAATTTGGAGAATCTTGTTGTTATTTTTTGCAGTTCTTACCTGACAGTGTTGCTCAGAGGACTTGCATATTTGGAGCGCTGCATCTTTAAAAGCTGTGTAGCAAGTTGCGCCAACACATACACCTTGATGACATTTGTTTTCCTTAAAAGAAAAGAAAAAAAAACAACATAGGAGAGAGGATGGTACTAATCCAACACCAGACCTGGCTTCCAGTGTTTGACCAACTGTTTAAAAAAAAAAAAAAAATCTTGTTTTATACGCTATTAAAATTTTAAATAATTTTCAGGCAGTTAAACACTGGGAATAGTTTAAAAGTAAACATTATATACAAATATTCATATCCATATTACCACAGCAGCACACGCTCACACATGCAGCCTTTTGTCCTTACATTGTTTGCTGGACTGGTGGCAGTCGTTGTACTGACTGGTGTGGTTGTTGTTGTCGTTGCTGTTGTTGTTGTTCTTGCTGAGGTGGTTGCACTTACTAAAATCACGCAAAGAAAAGAGTGAAAATATTTTTTAAAAATTGCAAACTTCAGACTAAAGGAGCTTGCTTGTAAACATGCAGTCACAACTCATAAGATGAAATAGAACATAACCATTTGTAAGGACAGTATGAGGATGATATAACAGAGTCATGAAACAGGAAGATGTGAGATGTGAAAGATGCGTCTGTTTACCTGTGGTTGTTGTCATCATCATCGATTCAAAAGTGGTATTGAGGCAGCCAGTAGAATTGCAGCAGGCCACAGCGCAGTCTATCTGAGTGTTGTTGACGCACTTATCAGCACAAGGGGTGCTGCAGCTAGCATTGTAGGACATGTCCACCTGCCTTATCAGCTGATACAATGCAGAATCAGACAATAGTAGACATGTTTTAATTTGCTTTGCCTTTTCTTTTTTCTATAAATATCACTGACCATCATAATAACATCTAACGTATTGACTTACCACTCCATCTTTTGAATGCTCAGTTGCTTCTTTGGATTACTAACACAGTTAATTTGCCGTACATTTTAGGACACTTTATCATAATTTCTCAAGGCCATAATGCATCACATACTTTAGTTAGATGGTTCAAAGGGTTTTTGTCAGTGTCATTTGCCTCCCTACCTGACAGTAGGCACTAGCAGCACATTTGGTGGCACTCTGATTGGTGTACATTGTGTAGCAGTCTGAATAGTTACAGACGAATGAGGGGCAGTAAATCTGTGTTTGAGAGAGAAGATGGGTACATGATGAAAATGAGAGACTAAATGGAAATATGCAAATACACCAATACACCCTTCTCTAATAAGGTGGACTTGCCATACTCCCTGATGCAGGATTTGATGTTGTGGTTCCATTCATAACAGGCTTGCCACCTGTGGCAAAAAAATTGATAGGATAAGGAAGGATAAGGAAAAATCTGAGAATTAGCAATAGTCTTCTCTTGTTTACATGGGAAAACAGGCTGGAATGTTCACTAAAACATCTTAATATTTGGTAAAAAAAATATACCAGTGGAGTTTGATGGCTGGGTTGTGGACATCATTGAGGTTGGAGTCATGGAGGAGGATGAACTGGTCCCAACTGAGGCCGTCATTGAGGTGCTGGACTGGGTCATAGCTGTAGAGGAGGCAGAGGTGGTTCCTGAATTAGTAGCACTGGCTGAATTAGAAGACATCATAGAAGTTGAAGATGCAGAATTTGCAGTGGTTGTTTTGCTGGTGGTTGTGGGGAGATGGGTGGTAGTGGATGGTGAGCCTCCAGAGGTGGTAGTGGAGGATGACTGGGTGGTTATGCTTGCCATGCCTCCGGAGGTGATTGTGGTTGTGTGGGGCTGGATGGTAGTGGATGGTGAGCCTCCAGAGGTGGTAGTGGTTGTGGGGGGCTGAGTGGTAATGGACGGTGAGCCTCCAGAGGTGGTAGTGGAGGATGACTTGGTGGTAGTGATGACTGGTGTGCCTCCGGAGGTGATTGTGGTTGTGTGGGGCTGGGTGGTAGTGGATGGTGAGCCTCCAGAGGTGGTAGTGGTTGTGGGGGGCTGAGTGGTAATGGACGGTGAGCCTCCAGAGGTGGTAGTGGAGGATGACTTGGTGGTAGTGATTGCTGGGGCGCCTCCGGAGGTGATTGTGGTTGTGTGGGGCTGGGTGGTAGTGGATGGTGAGCCTCCAGAGGTGGTAGTGGTTGTGGGGGGCTGGGTGGTAATGGATGGTGAGCCTCCAGAGGTGGTAGTGGAGGATGACTGGGTGGTGGTGATTGTTGTGCCTCCGGAGGTGATTGTGTTTGTAGGGGGCTGGGTGGTAATGGATGGTGAGCCTCCAAAGGTGGTAGTGGAGGATGACTGGGTGGTGGTGATTGTTGTACCTCCGGAGGTGATTGTGTTTGTAGGGGGCTGGGTGGTAATGGATGGTGAGCCTCCAAAGGTGGTAGTGGAGGATAACTGGGTGGTGGTGATTGTTGTGCCTCCGGAGGTGATTGTGTTTGTGGGGGGCTGGGTGGTAATGGATGGTGAGCTTCCAGAGGTGGCAGTGGAGGATGGCTGGGTGGTGGTAATTCCTGTACCTCCAGTGGTGGTGGAGGTGGTAGACTGGGTGGTAGTTGCTGTGCTGCTGGTGGTCATCAGAGTGGACTGGGTGGCGGTTGGGGGCTGGGTAGTGATGGTAGTGGAGATTGTTGTTGGTGTGGGGGTGGTAGAGGATGATGGTTGGGTGGTTATTGTGCTTCCAGAGGTGGTGGTGGTGGTTGGGGATTGGGTGTTAGTGGTTGCTGTGGTTGCAGTGGTTGCTGTGGTTGCAGTGGTTGCTGTGGTTGCAGGGGTCGTGGTTGTGGGAGACTGGTTGGTGGTGGTAGCAGTGGTGACTTGTGGTTGGCCTGACACTAATACTGCTGGCAGAAGTAGTCCAAATAGAATGAGGCACAGGATACCTGTAGGAAAATATGTATTTTATTGTTTGGAAACTAAAATATATGAAATAATTAGCAGTTATTTAGCTTAGCTAAGCCAAAACAAAACAAAACAAAACAAAACAAAACAAAACAAAACAAAACAAAACAAAACAAAACAAAACAAAACAAAGTATTGAATGGATTGCCATGAAACTTTATACAGATGTTTTCACTCATCCAATGACATATCTCAACATCTGCCTACAGGATTGCCACACAACCTTGTACAAAGAAATTGTCAGTGTGTTGGTTTTGAGCTAAGTGGAAAGTTAATAGAAAACTTTTAGCTATGCTAGCGGAGGGACTCGAGAGATGAGAATGTCTATCAGTCTGTCATCATTTTGATCCAGACAGCATTGCCATTACATTTTGTACACACATTTTGTACACATATTCATGCGTCATATTAACTTTGGTGATATGTTGCCTTTAGCACCAGAACAGGGATTTCTGCCACAACTTTAACTACTTAAGAGGTGTGGAAGATGGAAAAAAAGTTTTTAGAGGCCAAAATTCCAGCAACACTTAACTACAGTACAAAGGACAGCTTCAATGCAAGATCAACATGTTTTGGCTCGAGGACTTCATCAGGGTCTATATGTTATACTGAATACTCATTAGCAAATTTTAGCATGCCAAACATGATAAACCAAGTCCTAACAAATAGCATTATCTGTGTGTCAGCATGATAGCATGCTGATGTTAGCATTTAGACTGTGCCTTTACAGCCTCACAGGGCATTTAGTGTGGCTGTAGACACTTAGTCTTGTTCCCCACTGTGTCAATATAAGGAAAATAACAAAATTAAATTCAAGAAACTGAGGTTTTGGCATGGATAATATTATCTAAGTATGCATACTTGTATCTACAAGCTTTGCACCAACTTGCTGTATGCTTGCTGCGACGCAACCATGCCAACATGCATGTGTCATCTTTTTTATTCACTAGAGAGCGACAGTATGACAATTTTGCTTTTGGGACAGTGGCAATGGAGTCCCAGAGTTTCTGTGGCTCTGCCTGCTTTTATTTCCTGACAAAAACCTGTTTCGTAATGAGGACTATGTCACATTATCTAATACATTATGTACATAAAAGACATTTTACACTTAACAGTTTATTGAATTAATGCAAGATGCTTTGGATAGAAAACATCAACCACAAGACATGTCACTTGGAAGAAGAAGTTTTCAGGTTTTGACCACCTAACAGCCATGTGGCCTATCAAAGTGTCTTTCAAAGAGACCTGCACTGCAGCTACATGCAAGTTGCTGCAAGATGACGACAAAATCCTGACTATGCAAATATTCCTGTATTTTGACAGTCATTCTTATTTTCAGACATTGTAATTTTACTATTGTTAATTCTGTCTAATCTGTACATGCAGCATCTATTGCATGTCTGTCCATCCTAGAAGAGGGATCACTCCCCTGTTGTTCTATTATTACTTCTTCCTCTTTTCTTCTTGTTCAAAGTTTTTCTTTTTCTTTTCTTTTTTCAAATTTTGGGCTAAGGTTAGAGGGTCTTGTATGTTGTACAGATCATAAAGCCCTTTGACACAAATTTGTGGGTCATTTTTGGGGTTTTGGGTTCTGGGATTTTGGGTCATTTAAATAAAACTGACTTAATCTGACAGACAAGGTTGGTTGAAATAACAAACTGATTGTTTCTACAATGCACCTCTGAGAATGAACACGTATGCGACCACTGACAGTGATTTTAAATAAAGCAAACACACTCATACCTGTGTTTTTTGTGAGAGTGGTGGAGGCCATTATCTCATTGGCAGAAAGGGAGTGAGGTCTTTGTCCAGCCTGTAATTAAATCACGTCTGTCAAAATCCTGGTAAAGGAAAGGATAAAACATACAATGAACATGAATGGACAGCTGCAGGATGTTCAGCAATTAATGTTCACAAGGTCTGTTGTGTAGACATAATGACAAATCTCTGCTAGCAGAACAAACTGAGCAAAAGCAAACTTAATTTGTGTGTTGACAAAAGATCTTTATGATGAATAGTAATGTGGGCACAATTCAAACTGTTTACCCATGCTCATACGTCCCTGAATTACAGCCGTGTTCATTCCTTATAACCCACCTGGTCAGTTCTTTTGATCTGTGGGAGCTAAGTCATCATGTGCTCCCCTCTCTTTACAATCCTCTAATTGTTCTGGTGAAACTGATCTCATAATTGTTTGGCTGAGTCACAATACAAGAAACTGATAAATGTGAGATTTAAAGCTGCACTTCAGCTTTTTTCCCCCTCACACTTTTACACACAGTCTCTCACCTCAGTGGTGCCTTGAAGAAAACATTTTAAGTTCAGGCATGATAAACAATTTTTGGTAATGTCACCCCCGCATGAGGTCATTGCTGCTAAGAATGGTTTTGTGTAGTGACACTCAATTATATCATAAGTATCTCTGTTTGCAATGGTCTATCAGTGAAGACAATTAAAATATGTTTGTTCCTGGATCAGTCCCCTTGGGAGAACTGCTAAGCGGCACAGCTTGTTTTTCCCTGCTCCCTTGGATCCCAGCACGGCCTCCTAAGGGCTCTACACCCTGGAAACTGAGTGACAACACAGCCCCTCTGGCTAGTCAAAATACTGAGTTTAACTGGAAGACGTGAAGTTCAGATTTCTCACTGATATTGTTTGATGTATAGTGTGTGTTCAGGTGCTGAATCCTCATGTTGCACATCACACTCTCATGTGGTCTCCCTGACATAAACTTACAATTTGCCTTTTCATTGTGTTGTATAAGGGAAGCATGCAAAGTTGACTCCAAAGTCTACTTAAAATAACAAAAGGAGCTCTCAACAGTATCACCTTCTGTGAATATTCAGCAATTTTAGAGAGACTTTTTTTCTGACTCTAATGTGAATGAATGTTGTCTGTATGTTTCGAGAAAGGAGGAGATGCTTCAAACAGAAAACCTGAAAATGTTTTGTGAGTAATTTTAAAATCAGTCAAAATGGGGTCATTTTTTGGCTATGACACAATTAATCGTTTTCGAGACAAAAAAAAGTTATCTGAATAGGAAAAGCTAAGGTAAATGATATTTGAAAAAATAGAGGAAATGCTTTGCATTCGTTCAAATTTATCAAAATAATTGTTAGTAATTGACTTGTTCATTATATGACATATTAATAATGCATATGTAAAATAGCGTTTGTAACAGAAATGTCAAAATATAACAGATACCAGACGCAGCAGATGCTCTACTGTATCATTCACTGGCTAATAAAGGTGATACACTTGTTGGTCTGCATCACCCTGCAAGTCCCTGTACACAAATATCAAAGCCCTCTTTAGCTGAACTTAAATTGTACTCACAAAATTCATCATTTAAAATCAGTACTGTTTCTATGAAAGTCCACTCACCTGTGGTGCACTCTGCAGGGTTTTTTGTCAGCTGTGGTTGAAGTGAGTGAGCTCTCTCTTTCTGTGGTGTTCCCTTTCTCTGTGGCTCTCTCTCACCTCCCCCCTTCACTTCCTGCTGACAGTAGTAACGTAATAAGTGGAAACTCTCACCCGCACAGCTATACTAGTGTGAGAGGAGGAGACTAATGGCCTCTTGTTGCTGGGTGGGTCTAAAGATGCCCCAGAAGTGACGAGGTAATGATTCCTGGAAAAAAAAAGTTGGGTATTTGGATATTGATCAGGTTAGATTAGAGAAAATGGAGAGCATAATTATCCCATTGTGACTGGTTTTGAATTGTGATGTTGACCTGAATCTAGTCAACCCATGACATAATTAAATGCTTAATTCAAACATGCACATTCAACGCCAAAAAAATCAAATATTTATGCAAAACTGTGCCACATTAATAGGTAAATGTATACTTTAATTATCCTTCCTACCCTCAGCTATCAAAATATATTCTAATACCATTTTACACTGTGTCAATTTATAAAAGAAGATTAAATTACGATATATTGCAGTGTTAGGTTGCTTTGATGAAGGTTGAATAAAAATGTGCACCCAGCAATTAAAGATTTACAAAAATAACTCAGTGGATTAAGCCTTTGCTAGCCTATAAGAGCACAGGTGAGATTTCAGTGCCCTGTGGGCTGATTGTATAGGGAACCTCCTGGTTTCTATTCAACACAATGTGAAATCAGACCCCCGCTCTCTGCCAGCCATAAAGACCCCACAGACTACAATTACCTCTTTGTGGCCTAAAGAACGAAGAATTCTTGGGCACAATACAAAAAGCACTTGCACAATTCAGGTGACAGAAATTTCTTCCTTTCCTCAACGCAGCAGCATGAAACACATGAAATTTGTCTACAGTGTGTATAGGTAATTCAAAGTATTGTGTTTACACTGCTAAAGGGACATCTCTAAAGGCAGGATATGAGCTGTATTGCTACATGCTGTACTACAGTACTGTATTACATTATAGCAAAGAGCTGCAGTTGTTCCTCTTATCCATACTAGCTGCCATGAGTTCCCTTGTTAGAAGAGTGCTCCACAAAACCACCAACTAAACCTCAGTGGATGAAGCAGAGATGAGGATGGGTATTTTGCCCATAGGCCACTGAAGGTCTTAATTTTTTTATATCAGTTTTTAGTTATTACTTTTTTTTCTGGCAAACAGTAGAATTTTTAGTAAATACAGGCCACTTCTTGATGAGTCTTTGTCAATCCAAGATACAATATTTTCTCAAAGGAAATTCATACTCGAAAACATCTCTAAGGGTTCAAGAGATATTCTCCCAAAATATGGTAATCCTTTTACATGAGCAGAACTGTGGGGATGAATAACATTTATGTGCCAATATAATCTCTAACATTGTTGTTGGTTGTTCATTTAACAATAACTCTTTCAATGTATGTCTTTCAGAAATGTGAGCCAATCCTACACTGTGCTGGTCATCATGACTTCATCAATACTCTTTATTGTCCCAGGGGGGGGAATTCTTTTCACTGTTTCACATATCCTTATAAACAGATTTACTTGCATATGGTTGTATACTTAGTTTGATCAACTGTATAAAGTATAAAGTACACAGTGTGCACATACATCATACAGGAAACCATTGTCCCACCCCAGTATCCTTGTGTATACCAAAACAAGGCATAAATGTCACTGCATGATTTTACTACACAGATAGCTCCATGAAAATATCACAATCATTTGCATTTCAAAAAAATAGACTTCACACCATGACAGTACTGTCTGACAACAAAAGGCCACAAACTTATTCAAATGATAGACTGTAATGAAACTAGATAAAGACATCATGGCTATTGTCTGAAGGTGGATGCTGACTGTTACTGTTTGGTTGTTTGTTTGCATGAATGTGCACAATATATGTGTAAGGAAATGACGCAGGATGAGAGGGGAGTGTTTTTTCTGACTCTCTGAATGCAGACTACTTACACAACACACTAAACCGTGTAAGGACGAAATTTATACGCCTTTTCACACAGCAATAATCTGTAGGCTCACATTTCACTTGAATGTCCAGCTTAACTCTGAAACCAAACACTCTTGTATTGTATAATCAGTTGAATAATCAACTAGATAAACATGCTGCCACTTTTCACGCTTGATGTCCAAAGAGTGAAATAGACAGTATGATGGTTTTGTCTGAACAAACAGCTCCTCACTGCTGTTTCTGACCAGCAGCCTCCACAGAAAAGTAATATACTTACACTCATCTCTGTACAAACTGAGCCAAGTAGGTCTGTTTGACCTTTGAAGATGTATAGTCACATCAGTAAAACATTGTTTACCATTTCATAATTGTGAAATACAGTTTGCTATTGTTCCTCAGAGCTCTCTAGGATTGAGGAAGTTGCTGATATGTAAAACCACAGCAAACTCCAAATGATGGAAAGATTTGCATTTCCTGGATATACTGATAAAAGGGCACAGTGTCCATAAATAGCAAAAATAAACATTATGTCATATATGGTGCATTCTGTACATAGTAGGACAGTGACACACATAGGTTTTTTTTGGTTCATGCTCCAGCACTTTGGAAAACAATTATACATTATGAAACTTCCAACTCTAATTTGAAAGTGAACAAATTGTAGTCTCGTAGCTTTTTTAAACGGAGGCAAAATTATGTTGGACAGAATTTAATTTTAATTTGGCAGTAAATCCTTTGTAAGCAATAACTAGCCAAAGTCTATAAGTGACAGACATCAGAAGACACTTCTTCACTTGTGATGCTCTGCCAGGCTCATGCAACTGCCCTCACTTTCTGCTGTTTAACTGTAAATCCAAAAAGACAAACAAAAAAAACAAAAAACAAAACAAAAAAAAACAACCCTCCTTAGCTGGATTACCAATTTGGCAAAATAGGAAATTACCCCGCAGCTCCAGACTGTCAAAATCATTGTCCAGCTGCAAATCCCCTGTTCTACCACATCCCATTCTATTGGATTCAGATCTGGTGACACGGCAGGCCACTGAAGTACACTGAACTCACTGTCATGCCCGTGAAAGCAGTCTGGCCATTCTCCTCTGACCTCTCTCATCAACAAAGTGCTTCTGTCCACAGAACTGCCGCTCACTGGATCTTTTTTTTTTTTATTGTTGTTTTTTGCACCATTCTGAGTAAAAACTCTAGAGGCTGTTGTGTGTGACAATCACAGGAGATCAGCAGTTTCAGAAACACTCAAATGAACCAGTCAGGTACCAACAATCACACCAAGGTCAAAGTCACTGAGATCACCTTTTTGCCCCATTGTCATGTTTTAACATGAACATTAACTGAAGCTGCTGACCTGCACCTGCATGATTTTATGTATTGCACTGCTGCTACATGATTGGCTGATTGGATAATGGTATGAATAAGCAGGTGTAAAGGTGTCCCTAATAAAGTGTAAAGAGAGCCTATGTATGATGTTGTCACACTCGAAATTTAAATAAAGTGTTCAGTTTAATCAGGTGTTAGGTTTGGACAAAGTTGAGTGTTAGCACTTTAATCTCATATTCAGGGTTCCATTTCAAAACAAATATAGCTTTTGTGGGTGTCCATTCTAAAGAATAAAAGCAAAAAACATCTGTTTAACGCTTCCGGAGCTCTTATAACTGAATGTGTCAAAAGATAGACACAACAGATGGATGCTGACACCGAATCCTCCTTCTTCCAAAAGGGTTAACGGTTGCACTGCATGTGGAGTCTTATTCACATTGTTAATAGTTACGGCTCAGTAGACCAAATTAAGCAGCCTGGATGCAACTGGACTGTGTAGCTGCATGACTAAGAAGATTAGAAAAGATTTACCTACCCAGCAGTCGTCAGCAGCGCTGTTCACACAGACTTGGTGCGCAGCAACAGGTCAGTGAGCTCTGTGCACCACATTAGCACTCTCCATGGACTAGGACAGAGGCCCATTGACCAGAAATGGGAGTCATCATTTTCTTATGACCTCAAAAGGGGCTTGTTTCCTCCTAATCTACAATTCAGCTACTGGCAAAGGTCAGTGTCCGACTCTATCTGTACATTTCTGATAGTAAGCTTTAATCAGTGTTTATGTGTGTTCGTTTGTGGATGAGGTCAGAGCAAGGCAGCACTCACCCACAGGTGGCATAGCCTATTTACCGTAGCAGCCTACACCTGATCCTTTGGACTTGTTCGACCGCAGTTCAGCAAAACGACTTTCATGAATACACTTAAATGTCAAGATCCAAAATCATTTCAGCCATGAACTGTCATTCATTCTACAGTCAGAGTACCACCATGTGGGGTGAACATGCTTCAACATGACGGCTTATATCCTGTGGACTGTGATTACATGGACAGTCAAGGGGATACTGTGCACCTGCAGGTTCCTTTGGGTGAGCTTATGTTCTCGGAAATTTGAAATTTGGATCTCTCATTGATAGCAATCTTTGGTAAAGGTTGATATTTATAGTGAATATACAATAAGTCATGTTTATTCACCTTCCAGATATGCCCATACAATGCAATCAAATTCTTGCCGAGGGAACAGCACATCACAGAGGACACAAGCCGTCAGCTGAAACAGCTTGTGGGTAAGGATTGCCAAAAAAATCTGCAATAAAAATTGGCAAATAAAATCTTTACTTTCAATTAAAAAGACTTAATTTAACTCGGTTGATTCTATTCAGAGCTGCTGGTGCATTTTAGCAAATGAAAATGAACTGTTTAGGAATAGAAGTCTGTTTGTCCTGTCTATGTCCTGTCAAATGTAAACTAACAAGTAATCTTTCATCTGGTTCACAAATACAAAGGTCTATCTACATCCTACTGTAAATCTACTTTACATGTCCTCAGCACTCATGCAAGTAGAGATATGATGTGATTACCTCATTTGACTTTGTTTGTCAGTTTTTGAAAGTAAAGGGATTGCAGCCATACCAGGGAGCCCTGACCGTACAGCTGCCCTTCATAAAAGACTGACCAAAACCGAAAGGGAGATCCTGTCACTTAAGACTAGGATTGTATGTGAGAGAGCATCATGGGAAAGGAGGTTTGCAGAGCTGCAAAGAAAACAGGAAGAGCTACGTCATCAGGTGTGTTTGTGAATGTGTGTGTGTGAGTGTGGTTGAGGTTGTGTTTATGACTTCATTAATGATGACTTGGCTCTGTCTCCTCAGCTGGCCTCTGAGGCTGGAGTGTTGGTGAAAGTGGGCAGTTGTGATGACCGGAGAGAGTCAGGAGTGGACAATGGAGATGTGTTTGAGGAGTGCTCAAGTAAATGACAATAATATTCCTATGTTTTCATACGTGCAAGCCTTTGAATTTAACAATGATCCTGAGTGCTATTTTCTAATGAACAGGTGGTCTCTCAAGACAGATGTACCCAAACAGAGGGTCTGAGGTGTCATCAAGAGGTGACACCTGTGCCAGCAGTTTGTCAGGCAGCCAGTTCTCCTCATCTTCAGCACTGAGCTCAAGAACTGCCTCCTCCTCATCTTCAGCCACTAGGTACAGCATGTGTGTATGGCAAATATGAGGCTACAACCAGCAGCTGGTTGACTTAACTTAGCACAAAGACAGGAAACAGGGGGTACAAGCCAGCCTGGCTCTGTCCAAAGGGACACCACTACGCTGGTTTAGACATTTAGTAAAAGAAAAATCACCCTCCATATACGATGTATCACAGATGTTCCTAAAGCTGACAATTAATGTAGAATTGTCCATATCATCCCCATCTTTGTTGTACCACTGACTGAACTGTCTTATCATTCAGTGTGAGATCATGGAGGACATTCTACGGGCCTCAGCGGGTTTTTGTCCCCCACTCCCCCATGGACCTGCAGATAGGTCACCGGGTCAGGATCATGCTGCCATCTGGACGGATCAGTACAGGAACAATTCGTTTCCTGGGCCACCTGCAGGGGGAGGCAGATCTCCACCTTGGGGTGGAGCTGCAGACACCCGATCATGGATTGCATGATGGCAGCCACAGGGGACGCAGCTACTTTGAATGGTAACTGATCTTATTTCTTTACCGTGTGATCAAAAGCAACATGTGGCTTCTCAGTGTGTCTCAGGATGAGCAACCTGACATTTACAGCTGTAGTGGGATTCCAGTCACTGCGGCTTTACTGGGATAATTTCAACTCAAATGCTTCATAGAAACCTTACAAATCTCTTTTAAATGTGTGCTTTGGAAGTTGCTATTGTTCCAATTATAAATCACAACAGATTTATGCAGTACACTAAAACATTAACTTTTGGCCTCTGCAATCCAGCTGATATTACAGTATGATTCCTAAAGCATGAGTTAAATACATAAAATTGCATGCTAGGGTTATATAGACACAACACTACTGTCCTTAGGTATTTAACAGTCAAACAACGCCTCTAGACATACTTGAGCAAATGTGCACTTGAGTGACAGAGTTGAATATGCAAATAAGGCCGCGGTCAATTTGGGAAGCTCAAATTATAGCATGAAGTGTGAATTTCAGATGTGAGATGTGAACTCATTTGCCTACAGCAATAACTTTTGGTGGTTGGAAACTTTTTTTGTTTTTTCATTTTCTTGTTTTCAGTTTATTTATTCAGTTTCAATTTTTAATTTAATTTCTGTCCTTTGCAGCAAGCCTGGATATGGTGCCTTTGTACCATTCCACAAACTCCTGATGGCCTGGGAATGACAAACATACATGTATCATGCTGCCCATGTAAAAGAGGACTAACTGAATGAAGAACAACAGCCACAGTCATGGATCTGATACCTTATTGTAATGAGGTACATTTTTGTATCATGCATGAAAATATGTCTGTGTCCTGCATGTGACGAAATGTCAATTTAATTGATATTCAAAATAAAAATATAATTTCAACAAACATAGTTCAAAAGCACTTTATGAAGCCTGGGCACAGAAAGGTTAAGAGTTGCAGAATGTTATTGCTGTTCTTTCTTTGAGCAAGGTCAAGTGTAAGTCTACCCACAGAACAAGCAAAAAAAGTATCTTGTAGTCTAACAGTGAAAAGCAGAATTTCAAGCACAACATCAGGCTTGGTTGAAAAAACAAACTTAAAGGGCGGTATTAAAAACATACAGAGCACTGTGAACAAAAACATTTTTCTTCTTGCTCTGAGTGACACTCAAATATTAGCCGAAAGGGATTTTCACTCCAAGTAAATATGAGAATGACTCTAAGCACATCTGTCAAACATAGCACAATACGATCTGACTTGCCCTGACACTGACAATTTCACTCCGTGATAATGTGAATGAATTGCTTAAGATTGGCAAGTGTCATTGACAAATTACTGTGACAATGCACAGTAGCCTCATGTCTCCTGACAAGCTGAGGAAATATGGAAGTGTTGATCAGTTACTGTATATTCAGTGAAAACTTGAACTGAATTACTTCTATTTTTCTTTTACAAACCAATTAAAACATAGTGTGAGACAACATACAGCACTTATATAAAAATCATGTAAATCGTGTCAATATTTATATTCAGTCAACTGTAATTCTCCACTCTTGCTGATATGTTTGCCTAGATTACACAAGTGCTAGTGTGGCTCCTGCCGGATATCATGTGTGCATATTCGACATTTTTGAAATAGTTAAAACAACAGTTAAAAGGAGAAAATGGTCTTAAAACATAGACTTAGACAACAAATAATGAACATATTGGGTTTAAAAGAACTATAGGGACATATCACAACATAGTCAAAGAAGTGGAGTCAGCTTGAGATAGGTGTCTTTTTTAGCAGTCTCAGTTCAGTCCAGCATTAATGTTGGTTGAGTTGCAGTTATTTTTTTCATTTCACTCAAAGTAAGAATGAATATGCAACCGAACTAGCAGCTCTGCTATGCTAAATGCTTGCCTCAGCATGCTAACATGCTCACACCGATAATCCTAGCACGTTTATGTTTAGCGGGTATAACGTTTACCTTATTCAGTGTGTTAGTTTAGTGTGTTAGCACGCCATCATTTGCTAATTAGCTCTTAATAGTGCCTACTCTTCATAGCAGCTCTAGAGGAAACATCAGGGGACCAACAGAGTAAGTTGGATTCATTATGAGGGAATTTCTGGGCAATTCATCCAGTAGTTAGTGAGATATTTCAGTCTGGACCAAAGTGGTGGACTAACTGACCGACCGACAGATCTACATTGTCATCTTTAGTTGTAAAACTCTGACAGAAATTCAAGTTCAATTAAAAGATCTTTAAAAAAAAAGAAAAAAAAAAGTAAGTAAGTAACAGTAGAGAGCCAGAATCTTTGTTCGCTTGAGCATGCATACATACACACATACACACACACACTGGCTGACCTTTCCCCTCAGCTACTAAAGCAAAATGAGTTTCTTGATCAAGCCTACAACCTGAGCTGCAGAGTACAAAAATTCTTTGTTTTAAAGAAAAACCCTTGGGCTAGTTAAAAAAAATGGTTGTAGTAGACGAGTCTGTGCATGGGGAAACTGATCAGACGTTTTACAACAGCAAGCTTTTTCCAGTTTTTATTAAAATGTAAGCATTTCTAGTCCAGTAAATGATCTTATATGGTACAAAGGTAAGTGGTAAATTGCCCAAGGGAACGAAAAAAAGTTTAGGTCAACAAATACTGAGAACTCATGTAAATTCCACAGAAAACAGGCCTTTTTCATGGATTAAGACATTGGTTAACTTACAGCTTCCTATAGCAATGGAAGTAAATGAAGCCATGAAAGTTAATGGAAACAACAGTTGCCCTAACTTTTGTTTTGTTACTTACAGGCCCTATGTCTGTACAATGACAGTGTTAGTGTAGGAAGCAGTGCTGTTTATTGATATCAGAATGATGAGAAAAAAGCAAATAACAAAGGAAAACGGACTGGTTGGTCAGGGGTTCACATTATAGAGGACCAGCAAGTCTTTGTGAACAATATTTGATTGGCACTGTAGAAAAGAACACCACGAGTGTTCTTTAAATTTAGCTCAACAATGAGATTTCATCCTTGCTGATAAAATCTCCAATTGTTAATTCGCTCTGAAATATGCTAATTTAAAAAAACAGCTGGAAAAACTGACGCATTCTGAAACTTTTGACCGGAACTGTACTTGTGAAATTCAGTAGAAGATTTACGCAATATGTTATGATGTAAGCACGGCTGAGTGCCAATACTAGGTTTTTTTTTCTGATGAACTGTGAAAGTAACTTCAACTGGGACACATAATATCTGACACATCTTTTATTTCCAGTGGCATGTGTTTTTTCTTACACATGCTTACATTTAAGGTTTATCTTAACAGTATACATTTACAGTAAGTGATCTGATTAAGTGTAAGAGAACATAAATCTGTGTTCATGAGAACATAAATTCCGTACTTTCATTGTTTGCTTTACAACATATTCAATCACACAGTATGCATGTAGTGGCATGCAGAATGTTCCATGAAATTGATACTGATTTACAGGAAAAAGGTGATGATGCACCAACAAACTCCTTTCACTAGTGTCAAAGGCTTTTCCTCAGTTTCAATAGGATTTACTGTAAATACTATTTGAGAGTCAGAATACTTTGCTGAATACATTGAGTGGCCACAATATGTTGAAATATATACTTTAGCTATACCTCACAGAGATAATGTGGAACAGCAGGCTGTTCTGGAGAACTACAGCAAAAGTAAAAGAATAAGTAATACTTATACAGCAAATTCCTATTGCATAAGAACTTAAAATAGATCACATTTGATACAATATGCATCAACAGTCAAAACTCTAGAAGCTCAGTCATAACTACTTTAGTCTAGAGGCCCTTTTCATTCCAAACTTGGATGACAAGGTCACATTGGACTACAGTGTCATACAAATGCATATAACTGAGAACAGATTATCTAAACTGTTCATGAACAGGAGCGAAAAGTTCCCTTTCATAATGAAACATCAGAAAGAATAAAACCTCTTCTGCAATTAGCTTTAACATCATTCAACTATAGACACTAGACGCTTCCCGAGAAAGTCTCGATTTGCTATGACATACCTTTTGGATATAACTGAGGTCAACACAAGTATCATATTAGTTCTGACTGAAGGGAGGAAAGTCATCAGAATATCCCTCTCTGAGCCTTCAGGTTGAGGATCTTTGCAGCCAGTTTCTCTGCATCCATCAAATGTGGGAACATTTCCATGACTGTATCCACCTCATGTGGGTTGAAGATGGCTTGCAGTTTCTTGCGGAGTTCCAACCTTTGTGGGTCAAATGTAGCAGAGGATGGCTGTTGTTGGCCCCAGGGATGGTACTCATGGCCTTTGTAAGAGCAGCAAGAGTCGTGTGAGTGTGAGGAATGGACCGAAGAGGAGAGACTACACAATGTCCTGGCTTGGGGCTGCCCCTGAAAGGGATCTGACCAGTAATGTTGTTGATAATGGGTGCCTCCACTATATTGGAGATGGCTGGGGAGGCTGCGTTGTTGTGGCACACTTGGCGGGAACATTTGAGGAGGATAGTTGGGCTTACCCATAGAGTCCAGGTTTCCATGATGTTGTTGGTGAGCTGTTGAGGACACTGCATGGGAACAGCAACTACAGGAGTGGCTGGTGTTATTTTTCCCTAAATGCACTGAGTTGTGTCTGGGTCCAGCGAGTGCACTTTGCTGCTGGGACCTGAGCCTGTGGGAGTTGCTGTGGCAATGCGAATGATCAGAGTACTGGCTCTCAAAAGAGCCGAGACCGGAGTCAAGGTACTCATGAGAGATGTTGGCATAGTAATGATTCTGCACCAATTGCAGCCCAGGCCAATCTTTCTGGCCTCCTGTTCCAGAACAGGGCATATGATTCAAACTGTTTCCAGGATCCTCCGAGTACACCAGTTTGTTTCCACTACCATGCCTGGGATTTGAAGAATTTTTTCTGTCTCCAATGAACTCTGAGTCTCGAGGATGTGAACAGGTATTATGAGCAGGCCCAGTATCAGACTGAAGCTGTTTGGGTGATAATCTGGCATTTCTGTCTTCTTTTACTATAGAAATCTGGGCTTTCTCCCTCAGTTCATCAGCCAAGGACAGGTAGGACTTGTTAGCTCTCTCTGGATGGTAAAATTTACATTTGATGCCGTAGGTGCACTTTTTGTCTGAGAAAAACAAAAATTGATACAAACACAAAGAAGTTAGGGGTCATCTCATTGGGGAACCGCATTTCCTTTGTGGCCAAAAAGCATGGAAAGTCTAACAAAGCATCGGCAGTATAAAAATATGTTGTTTCTCTTCCTGATTTACATGCTAATAGTATTTTACCATATGGACAGAGCTGTCTCTTTTGCTCTGTAGGCAGAGGGTTTTTCCTAAGGAAGTTGTCCAGACTGGGGCCATGGCGACCCAGAGGATCATCAGGGGGCATGAACCTGGAAAAAACAAAACAGAAATAACTCATTGTTGATTTCGTCATTTACTTGTGACAAATCAGATGGGTGCAGCCTAATTATGTTTCCCTCATGCAATAATGTTCCCTCAGGAACCACATTAAATCTTATTCATGGTAGGAAAATGTGAAACAGACAAACTGCTTACTTGTCATTCACAAAGGAGTACATGAGGAGCCTCTCCTCGATGCATTTCTTCCACTCAGGTCTTTCGCCCTGGAGGTCACGGTAGGTGTCATTGGACACGATCACGCCGTTCGAGTCATACGCCAACTTGACAATAAAGCGGTCGTCATAGCAAACCACCCGCTTACCCCCAACTCGACGCGATGGAGTGAAGACCACTATTTTACGTTTTTCAAGCTCCATCAGTATGTGTTGATCTGAAAGTGCAAACAATCATGTCAGATTGCAATGTTACCTTTTTACGCTGCATTTAACAGTGGTTATGTCATAATCAAAATTATATATAAAGTGCACAGCTTTGTTATGTAACATGACTTACATTTATCATTATCCTCAACCGCACATTCAAGCAACAAAAAACACAAAGATTGAAAAGAAAAAAAGCAATTACCATGTAACAAAGCTCCAGTGATTAATCACAGAAAACAGCACCAAAGACAGTTTTACATCACCTGTGCCAACATCATAACACTCTCTATATCTCTATGTACAAGATATCATATTGCTTTACCTGCGAGACAAGTGAATGAAAACATAATACACACATTGTCAGAGCTTATTACACAAATTAAAATTGAAATGAAATCAACCATCCAAGAGGCCAGGTCACATGAAAGCCAGTAATGTTCGTGACTAACAGTTTTATTCATAGACAATAAACTCAAACACTCAAAGGCACTTTTCTGACTAAGTACTTTGTGTTTTTCAGGGTGATTTCACTTAACCCTTTGCTGTAGATGATTATCAGACCTTAACTACACACTAAACTAGGTGTGGAAGTTTAAAACACAGCTGTACTTCCTGATGGGGCTTTCCCAGGACTGACTGCAGATGGCAGATTTTTACTTCCTTGTTCACAGATTGAAAATAGATCCCTTGGATTGCTCCACCCAGACTGCAGAGTTACTAAATCCTGACAGCCACATAGTGATGATGCATCAGTTTCAAAAGGATGGTCCCCTCCTCATTTCATAGTTGTTGTTTTTGGAATTATCAGAGGTTGGGTAAGCAGGACTGGAAAAGATGCATTACGATTGAATAAAAGGCAGCTTCTCTACTCACTGAGATGGTACATTGTAGTCATGATATTAAACTGTATTGCTCAAATACACCCAAACTGGTTGGTGACTAAGCTATGAGAAATGCTATGAGAAATGTAGAGCCCTGTACTACACTACTGCCAGAGTACACATCACACTGCACAACATATGGAAACTTTTACATGAAATCATTTTTAATGTGTTGTGTGTTGTGCGTTGCTTCATACTGAAACATGATCTCTGTTTCATAATCTTAAGTGTGACACACTTAAGTTCTGCCTCTGACAACACTGAAACATTATACACTACAGGCATAGCCATACCTACAGCTACTGCGTTGGAAGAGATTAAATGGAAGTCATATTCACATTTCTCAGTAAATGGGAAGCTGTAGAGGAAGAAGTCTCAGTGACTTAACTGAACTTCAGGCGGGGGCAAAGGAAAAAAGAACAAAAAACAAAACACAAACTGCTGATTCCTGGTTAATTAAAGAAAGACTTTGACATTTTGGGAAATACACTTTTTTTTCTTTTCTAGTGGACAGTTAGATGAGAAGATTGATACCACTCTCATAAGTGATGTGTACAACATGGATCCAAGCACCAGCTGGTTAACTTAACTTAGCTTAGCATAAAGACTGAAAACAGACAGAGACAACTAGCTTGGCTCAGTGGTAAAAAAGAATGCCCACCAAGAAACAGAAAAAGATTGCAGGGATTAAACAATTGAGATATAATTTGTTAATTAGGCTACTTGTTAATTAGACTTTAAAAGTGGTGATCTGCACATTTTTTTGGCTAGCCCTTTCCCCTTCCAGTCTCTGTGCTAATCTAAGCTTTCTGTAGCTTTATTTAATAGACAAATATGACTGCGACATTGACCAAGTGTATTTAAGAAAATGTCTAACTATTCATTTAACATTAGAGTTTAGTAAAGACAACAATGTATGAGATGCTAAAATCAGACTGCATAGTACTCAGAAGTGAGTATTTCCTTCATCTGTGGAAATCAAGTTAGAGAGACTAGACTGCTTCTTTGTTGGCTGTTAATGAGAGTCACATCAAAATCGCTCGTCACTCATGATTTATGCAGAACTACAAATTAATTTAATGTCAGCTATGCGAGGTTTAGCCAATGGGATTGTTTCTGCATTGACTGAGAAATGTTTTATGTCTTGTATCATCACCTGTTATGGGGGCATCAGGTCTGGCCTGCTCTTTGCGCCAAGTGGGAACAAACACAGTGATGGTATTATGACCTCTGTCCAGGAAAAAATTCACTGCCAGCTGAATGCCACGGCAGGAGAAGACTTCCTTGTTGCCATGACTGGAAAAGACACAACAAGAGAACATGAATACAAATAATTTGACTGTTAATATATATATATATTATACATTATATATATATAAAATATGAAAAGCAACTGTTAAAATTCAGTTGATCTGTGTAAAGACCACGTGCCTTTGAATGTTATCGCAGACGGAAACCTTCCTCCCAGCTACTACTCACTGTGAATATTATGTTTCACTTCAATTCTATTGCGAGGCAGAGATTTTGAGGTGTGTCTAAAATTTGCATATTGTAGCAGTGTCCATTAAAGAACATGCACAGGCAGGGTGGTGAACGCCCTTCTAAAAAAAAAGTTAAGATGGAGGAAAATGTTTTTCAGGGTCAGAGTTGAATGACAACTTGGCAACAACTGAGGGTTGTTTGAAAGATGTTATGTTAAAGGTATTTTACTGTCACCTGGTAGACAGCACGACCTATGGTTATTGCTGAATGCAATAAATCTTTGTCTACACGTATTGGAACAACTCTGTAGTTAGCAAAACATACCAGCTATTAAAATGATGAATTATGATTTAAGTTACTGATCTATGACCCCATTAAAAAAAAACCCAGATAAAGCATTTGGTATCAGGATTACCTCATGGCAACATTACTGCCGTCAATAACAACAGGCCTCAATTCTGAGTCTGTGTTCTTTCGGTCCCCCAGTTGTGGTGTGATTCTAGGTCCGAGGGTCCAACTGGGAGGCAGCAGAGGGTCTTTTTGGCCTGCGCTCCTGTCATGGCTTTCAGAGCTGGACATGCAGGGCGCAGAGCTGGTCCTATTATTAACCAGCTCTCCGAGCACAGAGTTGGTGTCTGTGCAGAGCCCCAGCTTCCTCAGGGCAGCCTTCACCTCTGTGGAGGAGTAACCCAGTTTCCTGAAGAAATCCACTCTGAGCTGGAACTCCTCGCTGTCTGGTTCCAGCAGGCCTGAAGCTGAGCTCTGGCTGGGAAGTACCTGATTCATCCTGAAGCATCTGGGCCTCTTTTCAGCAGCATAGAAGACGTATTAAATCCTCTTTGGGATGGATTTTTTCAGTCATGCATTGACTGAAAAAAAAGACATGTTGAAATTACACAATTAAACATTTTTACATTCTGTTTTCCCATTTTGTTTCTTTTCAAGTAGCATCAAGACTTTAAAAATCATCTTATTCCACACTGTCAAACATGACAAACATATCCATATATTCTGAACTGACTTGTTGCTGAAGCTGTATGATGTTCACAGTAAGTAAAATATGACTCCACATTTTCTTTTTTTTTTATAGCTGCACCGAAATGTCTTGTACATCATGACACACATTCCCCCAAAACTCAGCCTGACATATTTGACATCCTTGGAAACTCTGATATCTCTGCTAGGATTTGTCTGACAGCACAAGTTTGCAGTAACTTCTCCATCGAATGCTTGTTAAGGCATTGATTTTCATAAAGTAACAGTACATATTTCAGAGCTGGAATGACTTTAGAGCTACAAAGATTTGTCAATTAATAGATTTGGTTGATCAACACAGAATTAATAATCAAGCATCTTTATAATTGATTAATTGTTTTTGTCATTTCTCAGCAATATTACCAAAAATGTGGAAGACACTCATGCCATAATTTGATTTTATAGATCTTACATTACATTACATTACTCGGATGGACATTTTTTTCTGATGTTTTATAGACTAAACAAAAATCATTCCATCAAGAAGAATAACCAAAAATGAAAACAACAGTTATTTGCTGCTTTAATTGCCTTCATTTTAAGGACATTCATGCATTTTATTTACCCATAGGCTACTCTCTATTCCTTCTTAATATGATCTTGTATTTTGCCATTTTCCATGTTATGTATATTTTTTTTATTATGTGGTGTACGTGGTAAAGCTACAAATGGGCATCCAATCAGTTTTGTAATATGTAAATGTTGGATATTGTAATTATTATCGCGATGTTCTTTGTTATATTTGATGGCCCACCACACAGGCCTGTGTCTCTGATATACTGTAAGGTCTGATCGGCTACTCAGCCTTTCAGCCTCTGGTAAGTTAAATAAAGAGCTGAACATAATCAGGAAGACACGCTGCGCTGCTTCAGGCAATGTATGTGCAATATGTTACCTGTATGAAGATATAAGTACGTAACAAACACTCATCTACGTCAGAAAACACTCTGAACATAGCCTAGACCTGTACCTGACACAGGTGACAAATAGCTACAAGTTTCCAACGGGACGTGTCTCAGGCTAACAGGCAGGCAGGTAAGGTTACAGCCAATTCCTACGTTTCTCTTCAACAAATGTCACGGCAGACTAAGGCGAAGCGTCAGCTTACCTTCTCTGCTTGTCTCTCTGTCCTTGTGTTCCACTTGTCAGCAGAAGTCACTTCTAACTTGTTAATGTGTCGGAGTACAGTAACTTTTACATAGTTCCGACTTCGTAGCGCCTCCCTCCTTGAAAAAAAGAAAAAGCTCCAGAGGGAGGCATGCAGAGCCATGAAAAATTTGCATATATCAGAGATAAGATAAGGTGTTCCTTTTCCTTTTCCCTATCAGTCACTCACATTGTAGTGCAGGAGTGTTTTTGTCTTTGTTTTTTGTTTTTGTGTGTTTTACATGTTCTTTGTTGTTGCTGCTGATTTTACAGAGTGACAATGAAATGAATGAAATAAATAAATTCTTCATTTGCTGTAAGGTAAATCCATTAAATGTAAAGCATAGTTACTGTAGCATTTAAAAATAATTCAAATCTAATTTAAAAAGGTAGATAATGAAAAAAAGGATTAAATTAAGAAAGACAGAAATGTGTAATTATTAGTGTGTGTAATTAGGATTACATTAGGGTAAAAAGGGGAAGTAAAATGTTTGTAAAGCCATGTCTATGTTGCCTGCATGCAGCAGCCTAAGGGTTGTCATTTGTCATCTTACTTTCTTCTGTTTTGTAAATACTGCATAACAACAGATTTTGAAGTATCTTCATCAGTTTCTTCCTGGTTGTTTTTTTAAAGATCTGGATAATTTGTTAACAAGAAAAATTATTTTGATTATTCCATGAGAATTTGTGATGAACCATGGATTCCCTGCCTTAAATTAATTTTCTGATAATTATAAAAAAAATAAAAAAAAATAAAAATAAAAATAAAAATAAAACATATGGGACAAGCTGCCCCCTTGTGGTTTGGGAGTAAAATAACAAAAATCCAACACTTCTGTTTTTCTAAGTAGTGTGTTTTTTGTTGTGTTTTGGATGTGATACAAAGACAATAAAATTAATGTTATGTCATGTTTCCATTATACGTAGGCTACCGTACAATTCTGAGGTACTGCGACATTACTTGAGTATTATCATTATTTCATGCTACTTTATACTTTAACCCCACTCCATTTCAGAGGGAAATATTGTACTTCTTACTCCACTGTGTTTGACACCTTTACAAGTTACTTTGCAGTTTCATATATTATATAAAAAACACATCAGTGAATAAACTATGATGTATTTTCATAGATCGCTCTACTTAAAATAAACTGAAGCAATAAGATACGTATATAATAATGCACCTCTTTGAAAGGCACCGGTTTGCATAATTTTTACTTTTCATACTTCAAGTACATTATGCTAACAGTATTTATAGCCTATTTTCACTGTCGGGTATGTTTACATTGTGCTATTACTAATTCAAGGATCTGAGAACTTCTTCTACATTTGATTTGAAACTTAACCAATATATGATATAAAACATATAATATTTCCTTATCTGGTGTAATAACAAAGCTTTATGATCATTTCTGCATTTGTCACCGTTCTTATAAGGCCAGTTTGTGGCAAAGTAAAGGGTTACGACTTTGATACTTCTCCACATACTGGTTTTGAGTGAGATCAGAAGGAAAGAAGACCATAAACAATAAGAAGCCAATGTTTTTGCTTTTGCTATTCCTTTCATTGACTGCCGTTTGTCAGAAAAACCAAAGTAAAGAAAAGGCAACCTTTAACTGGAGTAATCCGTCTTGCGCCAATGGTGTCAGAGTGACAGTAACAATACTTAAGAAATAATAATCTACCAGAACATTACATTACACCCCAAACTGGGCTGGTATATGCAAGATTATTGTGAAATGACATTTAAACGCTTTCCATTTTTCCAGTAAACAGACAATATTCTTAAGGAGCGCATGTTCTTCCATCTTTACCTATTTTTATAGTGTATTAACAGACACATTTTGACTACTGCTTAAATGGACAGCCCATGTCTGTTGTGCTAGAATGTAGCCACTAGATGTCACCCTTGCTTCATTATCCCTCACTCTGCTCTGCTCTCCCTGTGGAGATTATGGAAGATGTTGGTCTGCAGGTGGCTTTGGCTTTACCAAGCTGGTGGTTAAGATGTGGAGTTCTGTGTAGTGTGTGTTTGTGTGTGTACTTTTGTAAACAACCCTTTGTGTACAGGGTTAATGGCACGGTCGGTTTGGGATCACACTGCGTGGAGCTGGTTAATGGCATATACAGAGTTGAGTTCCGGAGAGTGGAGAAAGTAATCAGGCCCCGTTGCCAGGTGGTTGCCTCCTCTGAGGGCCCACACCACTGGTCCCAGGTGTCTGCAAGGCCTGATATTACTGCAGGGCAATGAGCTGCAGCCAGCGACGATGAGTTGGGGCGTACACACACACACACACACACACACACACACACACACACACACACACACACACACACACACACACACACACACACACACATACAAAAACACACATTCAAGCTCAGACCCAAAGACATAAAGATACAGAAAGCATTTAAATTTACACCTCTGTACAAGTGAGTTATCAATGACTTAACTGTATATGTGGGAGAGTTTCCAAGTTCATTAGGAATAAATATCAGTTGCATCACACACACTCGGCATAAAGGACATTTGAATTCAATCTGTAAAAGCTCCATTTAGACTACAGCAGTCTGTGGTTGAGTGCATTGTTTTGTAATTTATGGATAGGTTATATTGGAAAGCAGTAGGCTATTGGCATCCAGGAAGCCATTGTTCAGTAATGCAAATCTTGAACCTCACTGAGAATCCAAGTGCTCAAGATTGGATGAGATTAGTGCAGATTGGGTATTGTGAACATCAAACGCTTATTTCCTCAACACCTTGAGGGAGGCATTGCCCTGCTCAAAGGCATATCTTTTTCCTCCAGGCAGGTGTAGTTTGGCAAGGCTTGTTAAACCTGAGACAGTTGATCAAATATTCAGCCAGGCTCATTGTGCTGCTGAGAGCTGTTGGATGTGGTTGGGATAGTGCCGTGCTGATAAAACCTGCTTTGTAGTGCCTCAGTCCTGGCCTCCTTTTGCTATTCCTTTCATTGACTGCCCGGGTCGGCCGTCTGTCAGAAAAATTAATTTTTGTATGATTTCTTTAAAAAGAACCAAAGTAAAGAAAAGGCAGCCTTTAACTGGAGTAATCCATCTTGCGCCAATGGTGTCAGAGTGATTCACGATTTCCAATTTAGCCCTGGTTTGAATCTAAAGTAAATCAGGCAGGACGGCTCCACCCTTTGTGCAGCCAGACGACAAACCCTCAGTGACAAGAGCTTTCAAATGAACATATCCCCCACATTCATCTTGTTCATTTATTACTTCAGACACCCCGCTGCTTGTCCTACATAGATCAGCAAGCAAAGACCTCCTGGCAGTGTGTGAGTGAAGTGGAGGTAAGGTGTTAAAACTGGCAAGGTGGCTAAAGCGTTGATAGAAGATTGGACAAAAGAGAGGTAGAATGGAGAACGCCAAGGTTTTGAGTCTGTGTTTAATTAGATTTACTTTGATTAGTGACAACTGAATTCCCTGCGCAGGATGTGAGTACAGAATTACAATGCAGTGACTCCAGCCTACTGTTTGTGGATATCTGCACTCTGATATTTGCACTGGAAGCATTTGTATTTATATTTATATCATGTACACTCGTTTGTTATGGTTTGTCTTAATTGGAGTAGTTTGTCAACCTTCTTACTGACTAGCAGTTAATTAACAGTTTGTATTTCTCACATCCTTAAAATGTTATTTACTCTCCTGGACATATGCAGCCTTCCTGTGTTGTCATGGTGCCAAATAAAGAGAACTAGACAATGGAAATTAAATATGTGTTAATGTATAATTAATATTTTTATTCTAACAAACAAAATAAATGTTCATGTGTAAGGTAAAAGGTGTTGCTTGTAGTGACAAAACCACAGAAAAGTGTCACCCGATTCTGTATTTCCTGTCATATCTATGGAGTGATTCAGCAACTTTTAAGTCATTGTTTTGATTTTACAGCCTGACACTTTACTGTTTTTGTTCAGTCACTGCTCTTATCAACATCATTTTCTGATACAGCAGGCATCACAGCTTTTCCATCAAAAAACCTCTAAATGATCCACTGTATGCTACCTGACAGCACCAAATGGCAGACAGTCAAAGTTAGCTAACTATAGCTAACTATAGCGAACCAAAACAGAGGTAAAAGGAGAATAAATATTTCACTTATATTCATTAGGTGGCCAGAAATATGACTCCAAGTGAATGATAATGTTTCTCCGAGTCTTCTGGATGTTTCCCACACCAACTTAAAATATCATAGTATGTCAGTGTTTTGGTTATAGCCTGTTTCCACTGCCCCAAAGTGGCCAAAAAATCTGTTAATGCAAGTACATGTGTATTGTTCAACCAAATAAAAAAAAAAGAAGATTTTCTCACTTACCTTTGTGGTATGTAGAAATACTGATAAAAAAACATGCATACACCTGCTTCTTTATTGTTGAAATAAATGTGGTCCAGCCAGCCATAGATCATTTAAAGATCATTGTGTATATATGCACTGGATCCCAGTGCAGCTCCAGCCCTTGCAGGTGTAACCTCAGCATGAAGCTGAGCCCAGGCCTCGTCCAAGAGCACCAACAATGTTCTGATTAATAGTTGCTGTCAGACCAGGTCATTTAGGCCTACCTGTTATTCTGCATATTACTCATATCTGCCCCAACAAAAGGCAGATACTCACAGCAGTACATGAGGACGTCCAGGTACACGGAAGTGTGTATATTACAAGTATACATGATCACGCATAGACCCACAGAGTCACCAGGACATACAAAGAGACACAAGCAAACAACTGCCTCCAATGCCCAGGCTCATGTTTGATAGCAACTCATGCTCATGCAGTTGGGCAACGCTCCAAGGTATTCATTACTATTGATGTCAGAATCCACAACAAGAAGTGATGGCTGAACCTCCTGCACTCTGTACTGTTTAAAACCAAGCTCCTCTCCCACAGCTGTTGCTCTCTGTCTTCACTTAGGAGGGGAGACTGTGATGATTAATGCAATCTCTGCTGGGATCTCAGGGAAAGAACCTGGAGTTTCTGCTGAAGTGCTTCGCTCATATTGTGGGTGATTCAGTCACACAATATCTACACTG